CAAGCGGGTCAGCATGCGCCTGAGCGTGGCCCAGCCCTCCTACGCCGACTGCGAGCTGGGCCACCAGCCCAGCATCCGAGCCCAGCCCCTGCCGCCACCCAACTACGAGGGCTCTGACATGGTGGAGAGTGACTATGGGAGCTGTGAGGAGGTGATGTTCTAGCGGGGCTTGCTCCTGGGATGAGGAGAGAAGTTTCCACGCAGAACAGAGGGCAGGGGGCTGGCACACGCTGCTGAAGGGAGGCTTGTGTGTGTCCCTCTCAGCTTGCAGCGTCCCCCCCTGCGTGGCTGGGTTATAATTTTGGTTGGATCTTTCCCCTCGCTGCCCTCCACGGTGCTCCTGCTGCAGATGGAGGGGAGATGCTGCAGGCACTGCTGGGACATGGAGGATGCTCCTGGGATGCCAGTGACTAACCTGCCTCCTCACCGAGGGGACTGCCTCCAGCACCATGCAGAACCAGAGCATGCTGCGTCCTCCCACACCAGGCTTCCTGGCCACGGGGAGGATGAGGAGGAGGAGGGCAAGCACTGCAGGTATGGCAGCAGTCATGGAGGAGAAAGGTGTGGAAGGATTAGCAGTGCACAGCCTGGCAGTGCCCCTTGTGGGGTACAGAGGCTCCCTGCTCCCACATCTGGCTCCAAGGGCTTGCATCAAGCCAACAGTTTGTTCGTGGAATGGATCAGCTGGTGCAAACCCTCTTCATGTCTGCTCCCTGACACTGGCGGAGAGAAGAGGGAATGCAGCTGGTCCCACCAGCACATCCCTGACTGGCTAACAGAAGTCCAAGGGAAAAAAAAAAAAAAAGAAAAAAAAATTTGTGTAGAAAAACCAAGCAACAAGGTTTGTTACAGCAGGAACCGCCCACAGACTCAAAGCAGGCTGCCCAGTTGGGCTGTGTGCACACAAGGGGGACCCTGCCCCGAGGATTGTGTGCGCAGCCTTGTCCCCGTGGCTGTCCCAGTCCCACACTGATGCAGCTGCACACCCCGTGCTGTATCCCAGACTGGCCAGCACTGCCTGGAATCTCTGGCCAGAGAGGGGCACTGAGGCTACTGAGCGTGGGTTTGCCTGTTTGTCCTTGTGCTTGGACATGTATTGTTTCTTCATGAGAGGTTTGCTTTGGTTGGTTGTTTGATGTAATTTTTTTTGTTGTTGAATTTTTGGAAAGTATTAAAAAAGTTTGGATTTTTTTACTATTATGATTTTATTCAGTATCCCAGAGATTCTCTTGTAAATTATTAGGACATCCTTGCCTAGCTTCAGCCAAGGGAACAACAGCTTAGTTTGGGCATGAAAAGCTTTCAGGGAAGTACCAACACAGCAAGTTAAACATTTTTTTGAGGATCCTCTATGTGCCACAGGGATGAGGCAGACAGACCCACAGTACCCTGTCTTGCTTTGGGAAACCATGAGCCTCCTCATGGTATCTCTTAGCTCAGGAGTAAAGGGCTTGAAAGGACCCAAATTGAAGCCTTTGATTTTTCATCCCAAACAAACACCACTTGTTTTACCTCTCAAAGCTCTCATGCACTTCCATAAAACTTATTCACCAGCTCTGCTCAGCAGAAAGCAGTCCCTGCCTAGATCAGACCTCTTTTATCTAGGTGGTTTTATTCTGTTTGGTAAATTGCTCTGATCCTAAAATAATGCATTTCTGTACTTTGAGGACATTTAATTTTGAGGTGTCTCAGCAACAGGCACCACTTTTACCCATAGGGAAAGCACAAATTGTTCTTCCCAGCAGCAGAAGCAGCACAAATAACAGTGATATTTTCCTTTAGATTTTTTAATTCTCCAGGGTTGCTTTGGCCAGTGGTCACAACACAGGGAAAGGCAAAGGCAGTTTGTAATGAAGCTCCTCTGAGTAATACCTGGGAAGGAGCAGCCTCAGTACAGCCATTTTATGGGATGGGGACAGCCCTGCAGTGCTCACCCCTAAGAAAGGATGGCTGTGGATCCCACCATGGTGACTCTCCAGGGTCAGAAATACCTGAAGCACCAGGAGTGCCTGTGCTCAGCCACCCCTCCTGCCCTGTCATTCAAGTGACCTCAGATCCACAGTCCCCATCAGCCTGCAAAAGCCTCCTGGTTTACGAAAAAAAGCCTGCCAGATTTCTAAAGATGAACTTTTTATAGCACTGATTTCCCAACAGCTCCATAATGACACACTGCAAGGGCATGAATTATTCAGCAGTGAGGATAAGCTGAGCTGCAGCAGTGCTGGCAGTCTCCCAGTGTGGGCTGACTTTTGCTCCTTTGATCTCTAGGGCGGATCTGCAGCAGCTCAGCATCCCCCATCTTTTTTCACATGCCAAGCTCTTTTTTTCAGCTGCAGCCCCACTTTTGGCATAAATATGGAGATGAGAAACCAAAGCCCAACTTTGGTGAGGCAGAGAAAAGCTCAGCCCTACAAGCTCAGAAACTCTGCCCACAACCTACTTGCACAAATGAGGTCAAAAGAAAAATTAAATTTTCCAAGCAGCAAAGCTGGAACACTTTTATTTGAAACACTCACTAGGAGGGGAAACTGTGTGTGCTGTGTGGGGGTGGGAGCAGCACAGGATGGGATCCTGGCTGCCTGCTGGGCTCTACATCTCCTGCTCCCTTCTTTTGGAAGAAAAACCCACACTTCACACCTCCAAAGCCTTTACACATAAAAAATAGATCATATTTATTAAGTAAGATACATGATTCAGGTGCAGCACCAGCTCTCCTGCTGGGCAGGCACCTGTGCTGTACACTGACAATATCCATAGGCACAAGACATGGACGTGACCATTGCTATATTTACACAGACAAGTTTCTTGGTTACTGAGCAGCCTACAATACACAAGTGTCAAGTTTTCCTGTCCACCATTGACCCCTGGCTCAGCAGAGCCTCTCACACCACATGTGTCACCATCTTCAAACAGCCCTGCTCACCCCATTAAAAGGGAAGAGCTGCAAAACCCATTTAATGCTTCCGTGATATCCCAGTCCCCTTGGAAATGAGGTCTGCACTGCTGCTTGCAAAGTGAGTGCCAGGCTGGGGACATGCCTTGGCACACAGCTGTCCCTAAAATGTGGCCAGCCTTCTTTGAGTGCACTATTAGCAGGGCAAGGAGAAGCATCACACATCCCCTGCTGCTCACAGCACTCCCTCCTCTGCTTGACAGTTCTGACTCAAACCCAACCCCAAGGGCCACGCTGGGGTCAGCACACAGAGATGGACATGAATATTGCACTTATCCCGCTTGTGTCATGCCCTGGAGTCCCTTCCCAGCCCTGGGTGCTTCCTCTCTATCCCCATGGCGCCCTCCAGAGGGAGGATTTGAGTTAAAGCTTTGCTCTGCTCCTGACCAAGCCAAGACCTTGCCCAGCACAGCCTTGGACGGGATGAGGTGAGCACCAAGAGATGCAGAGAGCAGAAGAGGGGCTGGAAAGGGGCAGACACGTGGCACAGACCCACCCCACACCCGGCCACGGGTGCACACGGTGGCATGTGGCACCCAGAGCTGCCAGCAAAGGGGCACAGTGCAGACACAAGCAGCACCCAGGGAGAGGCAGGCTGCAGGGACACTGCTCCACACAGCCTTCCCCTCACAGAACCCAGGCAAACACCAAAAATAACTGCAAACCTCACCCTCCACCACAGATGGGAACACAGCCCACTGGTGCTGTACTCAGTCTCCTTTCCCACCACCTGCAGCCTCTGCCCACCCCCAGGGAGACATGGCTGCAGTGGGATGAGGGATGAAGGCTCTCCAGAGAGAGCTGGCATTTGGGAGATGCTGTGTTAGCAGGCAGGAGTTTGACCTGTCCTGTGGAGGATGCATTTGCTCCCTTGTCTTAAAAAAGTAGAAATCCAGTAGAAAGGTGAGGAAACTCTCTAGGGAGGAAGCTGGGCTCTGAGAGAAAGGAAAGCAGCAGTGCCACAGGACCATGCCCACCAGGCATGCACCAGCCACGACAAAAGAAGCAACAGGAGCACAGGGAGAGGTGCCAGGGAGCTGCATCCTACAGGAGTAGAGGAGCTGGGCGGGAGCAGAGGATGCAGAGGGAGTGCAGCCAGGAGAGGAAGGGTTAAAAACAGAAATATTGTGGAGGTTTTGTGTGTGAATTGACATTCAGTATCAGCCTGCAGACTCAGGTGGAGCGTGCCAGGGCCAGCTCAGGCACTGTCAACAAGGTGATGATGTATCCTTGTGGTGTGTGGGCAGCATGTGGTGACCCCTGGGGAAACCCCATCCCACCCAAAGGGGACCAGCTCAGCCCCTCATGATGGCAGAGCCTGTTTGCTCCCCACACACCTCAGTTCTGTAAAGCTTCTGAAAGCCAAGCGTTGGGTTGTGCGCTGGATGGGGATAAAGAAGTGTCACCACTGAAAGCGTGGACCAAGGGTCAGCAAACCCTCCCAGTGCCCAGCTCCAGGGCATGCTCAGCTGGAAAAGAGCTGAGGCACTGCAGGAGCCATGCCCACAGATGGGGATCCCACTGAGAGAGAGCTGTGGGCCCCAGCACGCTCCACACCTCAGGCTCTGCCCACTCTCCCTACAAGGCCGAGGTGAGGAGGGAGCTCTACACTCTCTAACCTGAGCTGAGGTTTGTCTGTTGCTGTAAAAATAAAGTGCTCAGGGAAAAAAAAAATATAAAATCAAACTGGCACAAAAAAAGAGTAGTCCCTGTTCCCCGCCCTGACTGAAAGGACAGGGGAAATATGGAAAGGTTGGGATTTTAAAAAATAATAAAATAAAATCTACATCCCTGGGATTCCTCACCTCTCAAAGTGCCTATTTACAGAGGAACTGTTTTGCTCTACCACCTGCCCTAAGAGCCCCCAGGGAAGGCACTGCCCCAGGCTGGATCCCACCTTCCAGGCAGAGCCAGGGCAGGATCCTGCTGCAGCTGGGCTGTGGTGCTGGGCAGCCCCATCCCCTCACAGACCAAACCCGCCACGCTTCCCAGGAGGAGAGGGGAGGCCGTTCCCAGGAGAGCAGTGCCCAGGGTCCATGCACCCCCGAGGGGCCAGCAGGGCGAGGGGATGGTCACTGCACCAGGACAGTGGTGGCATTCACCACGGTGGCCTCGGGTGCCACCAGCTCCACCAGCGCCTCGTACGTGCCCACCACGAAGCCCACGAAGCCGAAGAGGCTGATGGCGATGTCCTTGGCAATCACAAGGGGGTGCATGCCCTCCGAGTAGTAGGTGGCAATCTCCAGCAGCGGGGGGAAGATGAGAGCCAGGGCGCTGCTGCTGATGGAGCCCACCAGGGAGATGACGAGGTCCAGGCGCGGGATGAGGATGGCCAGCACGCCTGGAGGAAGAACGGACACAACATCAGTGCTGCCACCGGCCAGAGAGGCTCCTCCCCGTGTCAAAGCTAGCAGAACCCCAGCCAGGAATGCGACTGGCTGGGTCCCACCTCTGCCCTCCTCCCTGACACAAGACAAGGCTGCATATTTTTCCAGCAACTCCTCCCCAAGCAGCAGTTAAGCTGTTAAATTAACAAGGCTTTTTGTCGCCCTGGGCGCCACCAGAGCGAGCTGCAGGGCTGAGCAGGATGGGTGCTGCTGGCTGCCAGCATTCCCGACCCCCCTGTGCGAGCCAGCACTCCTACTCCCCACACCTGGGGAGCCATAAAGCCTCAGAAACCCCATAAAAGCAGGAGAAGGGGAGAAAAAGGCATCTCCCCCCACCCCAAATCAATCCGTGTGGTTTGCGTGTGTTTAGAGCTGCTCCAGCAGCAGCACGCCCACGGCACAGCCCGGGGGAGAACATTTGTTAGGAATCATTTGTTAGGTGAAAACTGCAGTCAAGGTAAATCCCCCTGGGAGACTCCTGACAGCTTGAGCTTAGCAGTGTGAGCTTCAGCTTTGGGATATTTCTCCTCCTCCTCCTGCATGGCTCCAGGAGGGGACAGAGGGATGTCACAACACCGCAGAACCCCCTACAAGCAAAGCAGACTTCAGTGTTTAACCAGTGATCAAGATAAAAAAACTGGTTTATTGCTTTGAAAGCTTTTCTGCTTAGAAACAGGAGACACCTAGAAGGGTCTAGGAGAAACAGCCCCTGAGGAGAAGGGACATCTCAGGGCTCCTTGTTGGAGGGATTTTTTCTCTCCCTGACAATCAGCTACAGAGAGCCTCCCTAAGCCAAAGATCACCCATGGAACTGCAGAAGAAGGAAAGTTTGAGAGATTGACTGTGCCACCACTGCAACACTGCTGTTATCTGGATAAGCCTAGAGATAAACCATCCCTTCACCAAGGGAAACAGCAACAAAAGTCCTGAGCCAGTTTATCCTGGTGCTCAGCACTGAACAGAGCCAAAGGAGTGCTCTGCTGCAAGCAGCATCCCTGCTCCAGCAGCCTCTGAGGAAAGCAGAGTAGCTCCCCTTCAACAGCATCCTCAGCCCACCCCACACTGCTCTTTGGACTCAAAAGTAAACAAAATTATTAACTCCCCTCTAAAACAAGCAGATTTGAAGCACCAGCTGCAGTCCTCAGCCTCCGGGGAAACGGTCTGACTTCTGCAGGTATTAATTCAAAGAGGTTTTAAGCATGCTGGTTTTGAAGTTTAAGCTTGAAAGAGACCCATACACCAGACTGCATCCTCTCTTTAGGAGCCAAAGCTCTGGTGGGGGCTTGTTGTGTGGCCACACAATCCTCCAATGAATATTCACGCAACCCCCTCTAATGGCTTTTATCCTCAGCAGGAGCCAGAGATCCCTTAATGGAAGGGTGAGGGGAGGAGGTACAAAGGAACCTGCATCCTTCCACCAACACCTCTGCTGCCTCCCTGCCCCCAAATAGGAGGGCACTGCTGATGCCTAAAGCCATCCCAACTCTCCAAGCCACCACTTCCATGGCTTGGCACAGCCCAACACCCTCCAGGAGAGGCTCCAACCCCACAAGCAACTTCCAAGTTCACCCACAGCATGAGAGTGGCCAGAGCATATCACCCAGCATGGCAGGATTTCATCCCTGCACCCTCTGAGGACATCAAGGCTTCAGGAACTCAGCACAGAGGAGATGGGTTTTGCCCACCTCTGTTAATGCAGCCCTTCTGGCCTTTCATTAGTGACAGCAAACAGAAACAGCAGCACCCTGCTCTCAGCCGGCTCCACCACCCTGAGTTAGCACCCCACTCCTCTCGAACCCAAGCCAAAGCCAGCTGGGACACAGGGCCAGCTCCCTGATGCTCAGCTCTGCTGCTTCAGCAGCATCAAGCCATGGAGCAAAGCTCCATTTCAGCAGGGGACACCAGGGAGCTCAGTCAAGCATCTCAGCTGTGCTGACAACAGCAAGCATTTGGTCTTCAGGAATCAAAGCCAGCCAAAATCAGATACCACCTGATTTACTCTACCAGGCTCAAGTCAGGAGCCTGATCCACCAAAACCTCACTACTGGCCCCACACACCATGAAGGGAAGGGACCCTGTGGGGCTGCTCCAGGCACACCTGCCCCGCAGCACATCAGAGCTCTGGTTATGGTGTGCCGTGTCCTGCTGTGCTCTGCACTGCCATGAGTGTGTGGGCACAAGAACAGCCCATCCCTCACAGTCAGTGACCCCTCTGCAGCCATGTCCCCATCACACAGGCACGAGGAGCCTGGCTGCACACTGCCTACAGAAACAGCCTCTAGGCTAGGCTGCGCTGGCACTGAACCCTGTGCTGGCTGTTCACGCAAACCCTGGTGGGACTCAACGTCCTGCAAAACTGCCATCCCCAGCCCTGAGGCTCCATGGGGATCTGCCACTTCTAAACAATGCAGTTTCCTACTCCTCCGCTGAGAAGGCTGGTCCCATACAGAGGGGGCAAAGGATCACTGCTGCTGCTCCTTGGAGGCACCTTGTTTGTATTAGCCAGGCTACCAGCTGTGAGGGCTAAAGGTGAAGGCTTTAGGGACAGGGGTGAAGGCTCAGTGGGAAGGAGGTGCCACAGCATCACAGGGAAGGTCAGACAAGGAGGTTTGTACTCACAGGTCACACACACCAGGGCCATCCTGAGGAGCAGGTTGACCAGCCAGCCCCAGCGCTCCGACACGCGGGCCACGAGGGGAGGGATGATGATCTCGGCAGGCACGTAGAACTGCACGGCGTAGGTGAAGAAAATCCCAAAGGAGAAGAGCAGCTTGACAGCTTGGTACAGCCTGCAAAGGGCAAGGACACAGTGAGACAGGCTCTTGCTTCAGCCCCTGCAACATCAACAGCAGAAAAGGAATGTTCTGCAAGGATTTTTGTGAGCTAGGGGTCTCAACTCCTGAACACCCTTAGAAAATTAGGGGTGATGCATTTAATCACTGAGCAAGAGACAGCAAAGATGTATCAGCTGCAGCCATGATTACACATTCCAGCTGCTGCTTGGCTTCTGAGGAGGGGGAAAAGGACAGCACTGCTGGGATAAGTCTGGGCTTCTATGCAGAGTGAACATCACAATGTTCCAAAAGCAAAGTCACGTGAACAGGCAGCTCAGCCTCCTCCATCAAACAAAAAGGAGCAGCTATTTTTGGAATGCTGGTACATGTTTGGGGGAAAGAGAGTTAAAAGAGCAGTTTGGGCTGAGCAGAAGGAAGGCAGAGTGCAGACAGGTTGCAAACAGCACCTTGGGCTCACCCCAAGTCAAATTTAGGGTGTCCCAGATCCTGCAGTGATACAGTGTGGCTGCAGGAGACAGCCCATCACAAGTGACCAAAAGGCACCTCCCAGCCCCATCTCTGCCCTCAGCTTCCCAGCAGCAGAAAAAGCCTCTCCAAAAGAGAAGTAACATCTGGTTACCTCACATATGGTCCTAACCCTTCCCCAACTGAAGACACACTAACCAAGCAGGAAACAGGGGTCCTGGCCATACCACTTGGGTAAATATGGAGTGGATCCAAGCTGAGGAATGTATCTGGCTCCTGCCTTCCCTCTACCTTCTTTGGGCCTGTGCCCTTCTGTGTGCTGGGTCTCAGCACCCACAACAGCCTTAAATCAGAGAAATCCAAGTATTCCCATGCAAGACAGCTTGGAACACTAGTGGCAGAGTCTGGCAGAGTCAAACATTTCCCACAGATGGAGTTAGGGATCACCTAAGTGAATGGAATGTTACACAAGTCTGTGGGACCAGTCCAGATGTATTCAAGGTTGCAGTCAACAGGAGCCTGAAGCCACCTTATCATCTTCAAAAGAGCAGGGTGCTCAGGGAAAGGACCTATTGCCTTGGGAAAGGAATAATATCCACCTGCAAGAAGGATGAGGGAAGGTACAAGCTAATCAGCCTCACCTCAATCCCCAGAAGAATATGGGTTAAGTCCTCCTGGTATCTATTTCCAGGCACAGACTGGACAGTAAACAGCCAGCAGGGATTTGCCAAAGGGTAATCATGGAAATATCCTCATCAGTGACCTGGATGAGCTTTCAGTGACCCAGAGCACATTCTCATCAAATTCCAAGCAAGATCAAATTGGAGGAAATGGCTGACACAGCTCGGAGCAACAACATGGTGTCACAAGCAAAGCTCAAACACAAACACAAATTTGCAAACACAAATTCCCACACATGTGAAGGGCTGGGGCCAGGAGAACCAAGGCCTGGGGGTCTTGGTGGGCAGCAGACTGAACATGGCCAGTAGCAGGACCCTGCAGTGATCAAGGTCAATCACAAAGCAGGTTGTGCTAGCAAAAGCACAGCCAGGAGGTGAAGGACAGGGATCAAGAGATTATTTTCTTGTTTGGGGCTTGTGCATTCTGAGTATTGTGTCCAGCCCTGATACTCCAGGACAGGACATTGACTTACTCTGCAGAGCAAGTTGAGTGCAGGCTACTAAAATGGTTGGGGTGGAGCATGATGTCCAAAAAGAGGCTGCAAGCCCTGGGCTTGTTCAGTATGATGAGAAGGTTAAAAGGGGATGTTATTAATGTCTTCAATGTTATTAATCTCTTCAGCTGCCTAATAGGAGGGCGTGGAGGAGAGAATAACAGGCTCTCCTTGGAGTTGCACAGCAGAAGAACCAGTTGCAGTTAGAGCTGCATCTTCAAAAGATGGTTAAGGGCCTGGATTGGTAGGAAATCACTGTCCTTACTGATACTGAACACTTAAGCTGGTGAGAGGACCCAGTGATCCCATGGTGTCCTCTCCAGGGAATGTCTTGAAATACCCTGAGGTTCCAGAGGCAAGCTGAACACAAAGTTATCTCCAGAGTCCAGAGTGCACTGTGCAGCCACACGTGTGCACAGGAGCCTTGAGCCACCAACCCACTGCTGGCATATCTTATCACTGCTTTTCCAAGAAAGGGAATCTATAAAAGCCATAAAGTGCTCCAGGGCAACTCAAGATTAATAGTTGTTAATAAAAAAAGTACAGAAGAAGGCTGTGTACCTGTCCTGCACAGGTCATGAACCATGACAACTAGATCAAAGGGCATTTTAAATACCAAGAAGAGGAAGAATTAAAGCACTACCCTTGATCCACAGAAAACAAAGGCCCATGCAGGGCCAGAGAGGCACTCTGCCAGCCACAGCAACACCTGCTTCAGCCAGACTGCCATGCCAGGCCATCCCTAAAGGCTGCAAGAAGTGAAACACTCTGCTGGGACCATAAGCTCTGCCATTACCTTCAACTGGCCACATGCAACCCAACAGCTTCCCCCTCATTGCAGCATTTCTTCACCCTTCACACAGTGCAGTGAGGCAGCCCTTCCTAGGAGGCAAGGAAGGATTTCTGCATAGCAGCACCATATTTTGGACACTGTGGTTAGACCTGGGCACTGGGTACTGACACACTCCTCGTTTGAGGAAGCTGTGGTTTCAGAGAAACAGGACTGGAGAAGTCCTTAGTCACCCTGCAACTCAACGATTCCTGCAAATCTGCTCCAGAGACCTCCAGGCAATGGCTGCAGCTAAGGAAGGCTGCAGCACCTCCACCACAATCCTTGCCTTGTCTCCCAGGCTGCAGGCAAACCCCATGACTTCTCACCCACAGCCCTTTATGACCAGCTCCTACAGCCCAGCCTTTTACTGTCAGGAAGAAAAGCCATGGGCGAGGCAGGATGGGCAAGACTTTCATTTCAAGAGTAAGTCTTCACCCAGCACCTGTGGTTTAATCTGCAGGAGTGGTAGTGAAGACTTTGTCACAACTGTCACAGCCCTTACTTGAGATAACCCATTTCCAGGTCCAACATCCACTGCCAAGAGGCAACATGCACAAACAACAAGATGTGCTGCATGACAAGTGACACGGACCACAGCACACCTTCCCTGCAGCTGGGTGTCACATGCCCAGGCTTCCCCAGACACTGCTTCCAAAGGGCTTTTCTCTTCTCACTATCCAAAAACCCCATGGCTACTTTTAGAATATTCACTTTCAGAAAAGTAGTTTACTTTAATAAAAGACAGAAGGTGTGGATACTCCTAGAAACATGGATTTGCACTCTTCTCTCTGCAGCCTAGCAGGTCAGAGTAATCCCATTCTAAGGATCTGTTCTAAGGGAATGTCATTCCTCAGGGCACCCAGAGCTGAGATTCCTTGCAGAAGCCCCTTTGCAGCATTTCAGGCTAGCAGACGTCATTGCAGGCTGTGGCATGCAGAGCCCAAGCCTGGAAAGGACCTACTTTCCACCTTCAGGAGGAATAGCAGCATCTCATCCCCTCCACCCTGTGCTTCAGTTTACTGAGCAGAAGGGATTCACACCTCCTGTGCTTGGCATGGTGGGACTCAGACCTCCCTACAACACAGGCACATCTTTCACAACCCCAACCCTCCTCACTGAGAGCAGGGACCTGGCAGAGCTCCCAAAGCCTGCAGGGGACAGGACAAGGCTCTTGGCAGGAGCAGGATCTTCTACCACACCAACATTCAGCAGTGCAGTCACTACACAGACCCAGCATGAATGAACATCCATGCACTTAAACTGAAAACAAACCCACACAGCAATAATTAAAGCAAAACCAGGCTCTATTTTTGTCAAATCTTTGCTGTCTCCAGAGCTCCAGCTGTGCAGCTCTACCAGGATAGAATGTGGGAGCACCAGTGACTCAAAACTTGAGTCCTGCCCAAATTTACACAACAGTGAGACAGTGAGTCCCACTGCAAGGTGCTGGGTGCTACTAGGAGCAGAGAGGATGGGCTGAAGTGGAGGACAGGCATCCCCAGCTCCAGGTCTCACTCAGAGACCATCAAAGAGGACTGCTTGCATTTCTCCTGTGAAGAATATGGAGCTGTGACACTGAGCAGCCACCCATCCTCAAGGACAGAGCAGCACAGATTGGGCAGCTGCTGCAGCAGCCACCAGCCCTGGCAAGAGGAGAAACAACCCCTCCAGGCAGGCAGGCAGGCATGGGGCCAGGCATCAGGGCTCTAGACAGAAACTGGAGCATCTCAAGAGGCAGATCCCAGAGGACAGACAGGTTTGGGAGACTGCTGCAGAGCTCAGCCCCCACAGAAGGAAGGGGCATCCTCATGGCACCAGTGCTCATAGGCAAAGCATTGACTCAAGATGAGCCACATCCAGGCACAATGTGGAGCCCAGAAGTGTGAGTTTCAGCTCCAGGGCTGCAAACAAGGAACACAACCCACACATGAAGATGTCACATCTCACTCCTTCTGGGAGCTCCCAGCTTTGGCTTGGTTTTTCACATGCTACATTTGAGGAAGAGAAGTTTTGCACAATTCAGTGATGTTCTGGTATGGCTGCATGGGGGTTGTGTTCAACATCTGCTAGTCAGTGCATACTGAGCCCTAAAAAGATGCCACAAGGCTCCAAGAAAAAAAAAAAAGAGCTGCACCTACCCAGGCAAGGACCTCCAGGGACCCAATGAAACAGCCTGAGCTCCAAAACCAGGCTCAGACACTACAGCAACAAGACTCTTCCAGCACATGCATCTGACAATCCTTGTCAAACTCCTTGAAGTTTGCCTATGGCAGTTCCTCAAGCTCACCCAGATTAGTGAGGTCCCTTTCTCCCACTTGCTTATCTGGGCCCCTCATTCCACACCCCCCAGCCCCTCCACTGCCCACAGGGACTCACCAGCAGTTGGGCAGGTTGAGTGTAATGCTGGCCTGAATGTCTGCCCCGAAGCGCAGGTAGCCCAGGACACCCAGGCTGATGTACAGGATGGTGACAATGCTCATCCCCACGTACAGGATCACTGGGAACTGACGGGGCTTCTTCATCTTGTTCTCCAGAGGCAGCACCTGGGACAAGAGGAGGAGGAAGATGACAGAGCAACAGGTTGCTCATTCCTCTATACCCCCCTCAGCCCCAAAAAGGAGGAGGGGCAGCCCCATGGTCAAGCACAGCCCACCATGCCAGGACTGACAGTCCAACATGGAGCCTGGAGAATCCAGCTGGAAAAAAACTATATTGGAGATCCAATTTCTGTGCTCCCATTGGAGCATAGCAAGTCTCCAACAGATCACCCACACCCTTGTCTTAAAGATGGGACCTGCTCCCTGCCCTTGGCACGAGCTGTGCCCAGTGCTGGGTCTTGGGGCAATGCCAACCACCCGTATCTTGGGTGCATTATGCTCTGCACCTCCAAATAGCACAGCCATGCCCACTATTTTACACCGTCCTATTGTCCCCAGTAAATTCTGGGAAGACCAAGACACATTCTCCTCTGCTAGCAAGTTTATCTGGACAGATTTCAACCAGGCAGGACAATAAAAAGAACAAGGAGAGGTAATTCTCCCACCTCTATGCTACTGACACTAAATATAGGCCTTCAGCAAACAATTTTATAGATGTCCTTGGGTGGTGTTCATTTCAAGAAGAGAGACAATGGCAGATCTGGTGAGGAGGCAGGACAAGAAAAACTTTTATTTGCTTCTTCACCTCCAAGTCATGTGAGGAAGAGAGCATTTGTGCCTCAGTGCTGGCAAGAGCCCTCTGCCCAGGGCACAGCATTCAGTGTGCACTCCTCCTGTAATGGATCTGGCCCTCTCCAGCCCTGTGTTTACACAGACAGCTTATATTTAAGAGATGAAAACATTTTTTCCTCCTTTGAAGGGAGCTCCTGGAAACAACTCACAACATCTTAGGGATTAATTAAGCTCTCCACCCACCCACCCAGCTTTTTTCACAGACACAGTTGGTCTATTTACAGCATCTTGCAGGAGAGGCCCATTTGCATGAGCAGGCTGGGGCCATGTGGCTGCCAAAGGGAGATCTCGATGCCCCCGCAGCAGGGTGGGAAGGGAAGGATCACATCTTTTCATGCCACACTTTTTGGCCTCCCATTTAAGCACTTCAGGATCCAGCCTGGTTACAAGACTCAGGACAATTCCTCATCTGCAGGTCAGCCAGCAGAGCCCAAGGCAAAGGCTGGTGTGATTCCCAATCTACTGCCAGATAAAGCCACCTCTAAAGCAGCAACCAACCTCATGAGGTTGGCAGCACGTGCTCCTCCAGCCTCAGATGGAAGCACCAGAGTTTGACCCAGGAGATAGCCTGGAGCTAAAGCTAACAGCACCATCCAGAATTTGGGCTACTGTCAGAGAAGTGCAGCTGCAACTACAGCTGCAAAGCAGAGCAGGTGCTGCAGCAAGTCCGAGCAGGGCTGAGCCTCCTGTGCAGCATCCCCACTGCCACATGCCCAGACTTACCACACCAATGCCTTCAAAAGCAAAGATTGCAGTGCCAAAGAACAGAGGGTAGGTCTTCCAGGCTGCTGCTAGAGGCAGGTTTCTGGGATCAGGAATATCCTGGAAAAAAGCCCATGCAGAGTTCAGACACAAGGAAGACAGGGAAGACCTGGCCTGTTCCCATCACTCCCTGTCACAGCCCCACGCTGCAGGGAAACCCTGCAGAGCAGAGGGAACCATCATGCCCACAGGAACAAGCAGAACCCCCCAGCATCCAAATACCCCATTGCCAAGCTCCCTCCACCTGCCAAAGCATGGGAGAGCACAGGAATGAGAGAGGGGAGCCATACACACGTACCCTGACGATGTACTGGTAGATCACTACAAGGCTGCCAAGCATGGCCACGTTGGCCAGCATGGAGAAGATGGACAGGACCTTGAGGTTCTGGATGAAGGTGAGCAGCACCACGAAAGGCAGGATGGACAGCATGTACAGGCGGGAGTCCATGGTGGGGGTCATCACCACTGTCCTGTTTGGGCTGCAGTCATTGGTGGTCCCATTTGCAGCAGACACAACCTGGGGAAGCACAGGAAGCCCTGGTGAACTCCATCACACAGGTCTAAAAGCCACAGATCTTAGCAGCCCATTCCAGGTGGGTCAGAGTACCCCAAGAGGTCACTTCAAGCAGAGATAGCTGATTAAAATCAAAACAACAAGCTGTTTTCAGATAGCTCTGAAGCAAATCCCTGTTATCTTGCAGGGGGCAGAGGTGGGACTGGCTATGACACCTCAGCCAAAACAGCAAATCCTGCCCAAGCCCAGATACACAGAGCAGGAGGACTCAGCAGCCAGGCACACAGAGGGCAGAAAGCACAGGCTGCATCTTTGCACTGCCCACGAGGTCAGCTGAGAAGAGAGGGAAGAGGCACTAAGTGCTATTTCCAAAGGAATCCTTTCCCTCCTGCTGCACCAAGTTGTTATCTAAGTCACACAGTCCTTCAGTTCCCCAGTGCCCCACTCACATGCAAGGACACCTGGAAACTACTGCTGGCCCCAAGTTCACGTTCTCATGCAAAACCATTCTTTCCTTGGGGCCTTTCATCCCAAAGGCACTTCAGGCCATGTGCTCACTTCTAGAGGCAGCTCAGGCCCAGGGTGGCTGAGCCATCCCTCCCAAGAGAGCATGGGCTCCCTGAATCACCAAAACAACCAAGACCAAGCTGGTTCAGGGACCAGGTCCTGTCCAGTCACTGCAGCAAAGAGCAGTCTGCAAACTGATTCAACCTGCTCCAGAGCAAGTCCTGCCCCAGAGGAGAGGCTGAAGAACTCTGTGTAAACCAGCATCCTCTGTGGGAGAGGGCAGTGCAGGGCCATGCACCCAAGGGACAGTGCTGCTCAAGCCCCAGCCTGCCCTGCCTCTTCATGCCTTGCTCCAAAGCCATTTTCCAAACCAAAGCCCTGCCCAACACAGTGGCACCTTGCCCAAGGTACCACCTGCACCATGACTCTCCACCTAACACGCTATTCCTCACCACAAAAAGAAACAAGCAACACTCCCCTCTCCCCACCCAAAAAAATTCCAAAACCAAAGGCAAGGGGTTTCCCACCTGTGGCCTAAAAAACTAGTGTGGATTTCCAGGTTTTTGAAAATTTCCCCTGAGGCTTGAGACAGCCTTCAGTCTTTGCTGTGAGGGGCTGAGGAGAAAGAAGCCCACCTTGAAGTGGGGCAGGGGGCTGCTCCCAGGGGTGGGGGCCAGCAGCAGCCTGGCCCCTGCACACACCCTGGACCCTCCTGCTTTCAGGGCTGGTGGATCACCAGTGTTGACCTATTTACTCCTCCGGCCACCCAACAATGGGAATCTCCTCACTGCTGCTCCAAGAGCAGAGGAAGAGTCTCACACTGGATGGACTCCCCTTGCTCCCCTCTGAAGCTGATGGCCACCACTGAAGAGCTGACAAAGGGCACAGCCATGGTGGCAGTGACCAGAGCACTGCTGCAAGAGCACAGCAGGAGCACATGGGGAAAAAAGCTGAGCAGTGCCTGCAAGGCACTGAGCTGGTGGAGGCTGGGAATGGGGACTCATTATTCCCAGTTTCTTGCAGAACAGGAGCCAGCCAAGCGGTTCAGGGTTTCTGTTTATTTCCTCCTGAGGCCTGGCAGGAAGAAACTCTTTCTCTAAAGATGTAATTAAGCTTCAGAGCCACAGGATGAGGAAAGAAACTGGAATGCAAACAGATCCAAGGAAGGGAGAAGAGAGGTTCACAGCAGGTCCTGGGACTTACACGTTACCATCGACACCAATAAACCAATTACTGAGGGGGACAGGATAGAAAATGCACAGTCCCTCTGCTTTCATCCCTTTCCTGTCGTTCCCTCACTAAGGACAGCCTCACTTTTCCTGAGAAACACAGACACCTCCAGCACCTCTGCAAAATCACAGAGAGTCTCAGGAAAACCTGCTCTGTTTGAACAGGAAAACCAATCCTCAAAAGTATCTGGGCAGAAGAGCGGACTTTTCAGAGCAGCATATCCTACAGAAACCAGACCTTTGGGGGAAAACAGGGCACAGAAGCTAAGAAAAACCCAAGCACCTTCACACCCTCTCACCTCCCCCCAGCTCATGAAGGAGGTGTAAGTCCAACCTGTTTCAGATTGTCCGCCAGAAAGACAAAGTACACACAGCAGAAACCCAGCTGAGTGATGATCAGGAAAAGTCCCACTATACGCCTGGAAAGCAAAAGAACAGCATCTGTCAGCCAGATCAGAAGATCTGCACTTGCAGAGCACAGCAATGCTGCTGTCCCCAAGGTTGGGGTGTACAGGTCAGAGCACACCCAGCTCACTTCTCTGTGATCAGGAGAGACGACTTTCTCTCCACCCAGCCTCACAGATCTCAGGCTCTCCAGTCTCCCCATCCCAGCCCTTTTACAAGGTCAGGACCAGCCTCAGGAGAAAAGTCTCCTTTTTGGGTTCAGCATATCCAGTCTGTTGCTGAATTGTCAGAGCTGGAGACAACACTCCCTGGACACAGGAACAGGTGAATGCTCCCACCCCCTGATGGGCAATGATCTGTGTGATGCAATGTGGGACACCCACAGGGCAGGGAGCAGTCACTGGACATGTTCCATGTCTGGCAAGATAGGCCAGCACTGCAAGACCCTACTCACCCCTTTGTTATGCTGTGGAGACTTAGTTATCCCACACATTCAGTGTAAGTCACATCTGGCTGGGGACAGTACTGGATCAAAGACCTCAGCATTACCCTCTGGGGGACACTGAGCACTCAGGGCAGGTGAGCCAAACAGCATTTTATGGCACTTGTGCTTATCTGCTGACACAGCTCAGTGACCAGAGGCCCTTCTGTCCCAGCTGCAGCACATGCTAGGCTCAAAGAGGAGTCCCTGCCTGGGGCAGGGGAACAGTACCTTCCCCAGATGGCATGTGTCCTCAGGCAGGCACTGGGAGTTGCCTCCAGCCCGTACATCACAGCACCTCCATAGTCCAGGAACTGCTTCTGGAACCTGTCCAGAGAAGGGAGAAGGATCATCACATCAGTCCTGTCTGCTAGTTCCCAAGGCAAAGAGTGACATTAAAAGGAAAACAGTTCCTGTGAAAAACAAGAGAAGTTCCCAACTGAGGCTTTGGCATGGGCAACTTGCTGTTAAGGGGCTTCAGAAACACCCCAGGGCTTTTTGGGCAAGAGGGAAGAACTGCAGGAGTTGCAGGGCTGAGAAGGGGAGTTGCTCCTTACCTGTTGCAGAAGTGATGGGCACATTTGACCAGGATGCCCATGCAGTGCACAGCCACGACTCCCATCACCAGCAGGCTCAGAGGACCCAGCTGCAGGGAAGAGAGGGGGAAGGCTGCACTCTGATGGCCACAGGCAGAGCTGCACTGGGCCTTCTACTTCCAGACAAAACTCCACAGGCTGGGTGAGTGCAAACACTGCTGGAGGCTGAACCAGAGCTTTGGTGCAGCTCCCAGGAACCAGCCCCTCAGGACCAAGTAACCTGACAGAGCCACGAGTTTGGCAGGAACGATACAAAATAAGCACGTTGGGGCAGTTTGGGTGTAGCAAAGCACTTCTAGGATTGTTTTCCAAACTATTTTGCGTATCTCTACTATGCAGGTGATGAAGATTTCATGACCTGGACACAGTGCCCTGCCTGACCCCAGCAGAGGAAACCATAGGCCCAGCTCACACACTGATCTCCCCCACACCAGGCAGCAACAAGGCAGGAGCAGCAGGAGCAGTCTCAGCAGTGAAACAAAGCCACAGAACTTCGGGTGCAAACAGGAGCAAGTCACCAAACAATGAGAGGTGTCTGGGCATGGACTCAATCCCCAACACCGGCCATGTGAGCTGCCCAGTGCCTCGGGGTCACTCTGCCCCACAGGCTCCAGCACAGCAGGGCTGAGCTGCCTTACCAGGATGCCAGCATTCTTCACAGCCAGAGGCAGCCCCAGCAGCCCTGTCCCAATATTCCCCTTCAGCAGATGGATCAGGGTCTGGTACCACCTGAGGGAGAGCAGATGCAGAGGTCACTGTCAGCAGGCGCCCACATCCAGACCATACACAGTTTATCCTGTTAAGGGTCCACAGCAGCTCTGAACTGCTGCAGGGAATGCACATGGAGGTCATGATCCTGTCCCCTGAACCCAGCTTAACCAGCTGGGACTGAGCTAGGTGTGAAAGCAAAGACTGAACAAACAGATTTTGGATGGGCATTTGCAAAACCAACTTTATGGTAAAACCCAGCATAAGCACAGCCCAGCACCAAGGACCTGCATAAGAAGTCTCTGAGGTGAAGGAATCAGTCTCTCTCAGGCAAAGACAGCATCCTCTGCACACCTGGGCACAAGGAAGCCCCCAGAACATGGCTGGCTCTGAATCTGGGCATGCTGTTTGCTTGCCAGAGTTCCTCATTGAATGAAGGTGGAATGGGAAAATATTGGGAAAAGCATCAATCACTGCCAGCAAGCCCAGCTTCACCAGAGAGCAAAGAGCTACCCTGGGGCAGCTTGCTTGGTGCCAGCACCCCACAGATGCAGGACCACAGCTGTGCCCTCATCACCCTCATGAGAACTCCCCATAAAACCACAGTTCCACCATCCTCTAGCAAAGGCAGCAGGGAGCCAGCATGGCCTCCTCCACCCTCCCCAGTGCCAGGCCAGCCCAGGAAGGAGGGAAGCACCACTCACGTTGTCCCGTTGGTCTCCCCGAAGCGCTGGTAGGCCTCGGGGTGCGCGAAGCCATTCATGCCATCGGGAGGGCTGCCCTCAGGTGTCACATCCGTGGAGCTGTAGTCATTGTAGTCCTCGCTGCGGAGGCGCCGTGTGGACATGGTCCCTGTGGGGGCAGTGCCATTAGGGGTGCCCAGCTCAACAGCCCCATCCTCAGGCACCTTGGGGTCAGCCATGGTGCAGAGAGAGCGGCTCGCACTGCCAGAGCAAGGTCTGCTCCAGGGCTTTTATACAGCCACATGCTCCCGCCCCAGCAATCACACAGCTGGCATGTCCTAAGGTCAAAGGCGCACGGCACATTCCCACTGGCTCTTCCTTCAGGCTCGTGCCCATGTTTTGGGCACACCCAGACAGAATGGGGTCAGGATCCTGCAGGCAGAGCCTGGATGTGACCCAATTCATGTCAGGCATGGGAGCTGTGCACCCCTGCTCTAAGGGTAGTGAGTGTGACACCACAGGCAGCGGGGTAGGAGGGGACATGCTGGCACTGTGTCCCCTGCTCTGGCACTTGGGACTAGGGCTGTCAAGTGGACGGGCCAGGAAAGTGTAACTGCTTTTAACTTGCACAAAGTGTGCTGCAAGGGAACAGCTTGCTCTTGCCAGGGAAGGGAAAGTTTCCTAACTTCTCCTTTTTTTCTTTTCCCTTTTTTTTTTTTTTCCTTATTGAAGAATTTTTATTAAGGAGAATTTTTTTACAAAAATTTATTATGCTCCCATTAGTGAGGAGCACAGATCATGTGCTGACAGCAAAACACCTGCCCCAAAGGTTTCACAGCCAAGGAGGTGCCTATGGGGAAAAGGGACTTCCCAGGATGAGGCACCTGCACAGCCTGGAGCTCTTGCTCCAACAGAAACTCCAACAGTGTCCAGCAAACCAGGGGCACCAGCACAAGCCTCACCAAGGACACACACCTCATGCCTTTGTCTGGAAAATAATCAGCTGGTTCAATTCCCACACATGCCACACCCAGTATCCCAAACACCCACTGGGAAGGAGCACCAGAGGCAGGGAAATTATGTGTAAGGCTCTTGCGCCACAGACTGGTGATCCAGTCCCTGCCCCACGGCTCCTCTGGGCTGTCATGCCTCAGGCTTCACACCTGCCCCAGCAGTCCTGGTGCTCCCCCATCCCACTCCCCAGCACTGGTAAAGAACTGGGAGCAAGAGGAAGCAGCAGAGAAATGTTACTACTGCAAAAAACTGTCTCGTTTCCTGCCAGAGCTCTTCATGAACCCACCAAGTCATGCAAGAGCCTGTCAGATGCAACCTCAGCACAGATCAACACATCTGGCTGTGCCAGGAATGCTCAGCCTGGGCCACTCAGGTGCTTCTTCAGAGCACCAGGCATTCCCCAGAGCACTGCTCTGCAAACCAGGCTGCTACATGGAAAACAAGCCAAGGGCTGCAACCACTGTGAGGGAGGGTCCAGCCTGGTGATCAGAAGGGTAGCAGGGAGCAAGGGTTTTCCCTCAGGTCTGGATGCTCCAGATCCCAGGTGCCCTGGAGCAGTTATCCAGGCCACAACAGCAGTGCTGTATTTCCTGTGGCACCAGGCAACACCAGCAGCAGGAAGGAGCACAGTGTCCCATGGAGTACCAGGCTCTGGAGCAGCAGTGAGGCTGGCTGGCAGGCAGGCACTCCAGAGCCAAAGGCAGCACATGCATCACTCCTGCCCAGCCTCCTCCCTCACAGCTGGGACACGTAATCGTGTCCTGAACCGGCTCTGCCGCAGGCAGGCATCCGGCGGGGCAGGGAGCGGGAAGAGCGGCAGCAGGAGTTTACACAAGGAAAGCGTTAGAAGCTGTTTGTCATCACTGACAGGCCCAAGGGGCAGCACAGAAACCTGGGAGGCTCTGCCAAACCCCCATGGGCTGGCAGAGGGCAGAGAGAGTGGGCAGAGGGGGTGCAGGGCTGGGTTGGGCATAGGTACCCATCCCAAGGAGGGCCTGCACAGCATCCAAAGCACCCAAGAGCAGTGAGCTTGAGGTAAACACAACGTGCTGACATCACTCTGACTGATTGCTCCCTGTGGATTTTTTTTTCCCTTTCAAGCAGGCCTGTCTGCTTTCTGCTTTGAAAAGCCAGGGAAATGCATTCATCGTGACTTGCCTGCCTCGTGTCTGGATTAAAGGTTGCATAGCAGCAGGGAGCGAGCACTCTGCTCTCCCACAACCAACAAGGAAAAGCTGCAAAACTTGTCTCATCCACAAGAAAAACATTTAAAATCAAAGCAAAACCCCATTACACCATTTCCCTGTCACTGGAAACAGCAAAGGCAGGAACATTCGGTTCCCACTTCAAACCCAACTCCTCAGCCACTCTCATGTGCTGTTTTCGCCACCCACACACAGAAGCAATTTCATCCTATTAGGAAAGCTGGGGGGGGGTGGGGGGGTGGGTAGTGACAGAAATTTGTCCCTTACAGTGACAGCCCCATGCCAGAAGTCAAAAGCAAGCTGCTACTTGCTGCTGACCATGACAGCTGTCCCCAGCTGAGCTGGGGCTGTGTGTAGATCAGGAAATCTTCCAGAAAAGTGAGCAAAACTCACTGCTGCTTCCTACCACACATGTTGAATCCTTCATTTCCAAAGCACTTCTTGTAATAACCCACCTCCTGACACAAAGGAGAGCCAACAACAAGCCCCTTCCTCAGGCCACCATGTCCATGCCAGCCTGACACCTCCCAGTCACAGCATCAGTCCTCTTGTCCCTGTGCTACCCAGTGCTCCCACAGCTCCAGAGAACCCCCAGATTCACCTTTCCAACGTTTCACAGCATGAGCCAGTGCCCTCAGCCCAGCTTCTCCCCGCATGGAGACTGCTGGGCACAAACTCCACCAGTCCCCACAGTTCCCACTGCAGCCAGGCTGTGCTGCCCAGCTCCCCTTGCCCCTCCACAGAGCAGCACAGCTGAAGCCTGCACAGTGTGGGGCTCCCTGCACCCTCCCAGTGCCGCAGAGCATCCCGCACCCTTCCCAGCACCTCACATGGGGGCTGCGCCCCCTACACTGCACGACACGCCCGGAGGAGCCCCATGGGGTGCCAGCCTTCCTGCAGGGCATTGCCAGCACGCCCATGTCAGCCTCCAGCACCTCCAGAACCCCCCAGCACCCATGTCAGCCTTCAGCACCCCCAGGCACCCCCAGCACACCCGTGTCGGCCTCCAGCACCCATGTCAGCTGCCAGGACCCCCAGGCCCTGAGCACCCGCCCCTGAACAGGGGCTGCCAACGAGGCCCCGGAGCCCCGAGTCCCTCAGCGCGCCCCGGCTGCCCCGAGCACCCACGCGGGACGGCGGCACTGCCAGGATCCCGCGCATCCACCGTGCCCTCGGCTCTCTGGGCACGCGGCGGGCTGACAGGCGGCTGACAGCCCCTACCCATCCACCCGCAGCCCCCCGGTGTCTGTCCCCTCGGTCCCGGTCCCGGTTCCGCACCTCTCCGCCGCCCGCACCGCCCGGCCCCGCCGGGCCCGCTCGCTCGGCCGCGCCGTCACGTGACCGCGGCTCAGCTGAGCGCGGCGCCTGCGCGCGGGCAGCGCTGAGGGCGAGGGGCGGGGCCGGGCGGGGCCGGGCGCGGGCGGTGGCGCCCCCTGGCGGCGGGCGGGCGCCGAGGCCGCTGTGGGGAAAGGCGGCGGCGCCGCCGAACCCCCGAGGGGCGGCCGGGGATGGGAACCGAGCTGGACAGCGGTCTGGAGCCCAGCACTGTGAGGGAACTGAGCTTGTTCGGCCTGCAGGAGGCTCGGGGGTGGCTTTGTCACGCTCTACAGCTCCCTAAAGGGAGGGTGAAGCCGTGTGGCTTCGGGCTCTGCTTCCAGGCAACCAGCGCCGTGACAGGAGGACAAGGTGCTGAGGGAATGTTTATGTTGGACTTTAGGAGGGCTTTCTTCACAGAGAGAGTGATCAGACTGCCCAGGAAGATGGTGGAGTCACCATCCCTGGGGGTGTTTAAGGAAAGACTGGACACGGCACTCAGCACGATGGTGGTGCTCAGTCACGGGTTGGACTCAGAGTGAGGTGGTGATCAGAGATCTTCTTTAAGCTCAGTGATTCTGTACTTCTGTGATCCCCCTTGCCTTAGGGCAAAGCCTGCAGAGCCATGCAGGTGTCAGGGTTAAAGAAGGTCACCCAAATGTGTGACACCCTCAAAGCCCCCCAGCATGAGCTGTGGCTCCTTGGGCCATGGCTGTGTCCCTGTGTCCCCACATCACAAAGCAGCGTTTGCAGATCCCTGCTCCTCACACAGGAACTGCCCCCAGGGCTGCTCAGCTCCACTGGCCACAGTATCCTCCACTGCTGTCCCCACCACAGCACCTCCACTTCCCCCAGCTCACACCCACATCCACACTATTCCCAGCGAAAGAAATGTCACCTCCAGGTCACCCCCAGCAACAAGAGGCACCAGCTCCACGTCCTGGTAAAAAGATTTATTAAGAACCTGCAGAACCTGCCCAAAAGGAGGTTGCCGCCGTGGCACTGAAGGGGAGCAGGGGCAGAGGGTTAGTGTTTCTCCAGGCAAAACCAGAGGGTGAAACAAAGCGAGTGGAGGGCACAGAAAGGCAGTGGGAGCACATCTGCGTGGTGGAGGAACACCCGCAGCAGTTAAGGCCTATAAAGTGCTTGTAGAAGACCAGCCCTGTCGAGAGGCTACAAAACACAAGCAGGCAGGGACAGCAAGGGATGTGGGTGGCTGGTGGCACCTGGCACAGGGCAGTGATGACAGGCTCACACCCTGCCCAAAGCTGCAGCAAGAAGGACTCTGCCTGCCCACATGACAGTCCCCAGCCACAGCCAGGACACCCCAAAATAGGATCTAGGCTGGTGGATTTCATGGTCATCTCCCAGTTATCCCATGTTCAGGATGCTGCTGTGTTTGGGTGCCTCTGCCAGCACAGGGGAAGGACAGTCCCAGTGCAGCATCCTGCCTTGGCTCACTCTCAGAGGAAAAATGAGATGAATGTGACTGGTCCTCAGCCAGGCTGTGCCCCAGCAGTGCATCACAGCCTTGTGTCCCCCTCTGGAGTGAGCACAGCCATCAACCAACAACCTCTTCTGCTGCTGGGAGTCACCAGCCTCTTGGTCCCCCCCTAAGTGGGAATGCCCATGTGGGGCTCAGGTGGTTTCCATCCTCAGGTGTTCCTGTTTGCCACAGGAGGAGCATGGCGAGGTGCCTTTCACAGGTGCCTTGTGCCACTAAGCTGGTTCCCCATGCAGGACAGGGATGTAGCAACAGCAGGTTCAAAGCTGCTGTGTGGGGTAGGGACACTTCTGCAAAACAGCCCTGTGCTCTGGCCAGAGATGGTGGGAAGCAGGAACACGCCCTGCAACTAGTGCTGCATCCCTCTAGCCTGCCCCAGCACTCCCAAACACCACCTCATCCCCACGGACTGCTCCAAGAAATACTGCTTTTCTCTGGAATGTTTTAGTCTAAAATTGCCCTGATAGGAATAAGAAAAAAAAAAAAAAGAAATTGGATAAAAAATAACAACCCCAGGTCATGCTGGAGTTAGGCTCCAAGGCCACCCTGTCCAGGCAGGAGACACCCTGGTGATGGGTTTGGGGACAGCAGAACAGCCAAAGGGGCCTCTCTGGATGCAGCAGGGAAGGAGGCACTGGGGGGGACAGGAGGTGCCTCCTCCTGACAGCAGGAGGGAAGGACCTCACAGGGATGGGTTGGCACAGGATGGGATGGGACAGGGGACCAAGCTGGAGGGGATATGAGGGCCAGTGTCCCACCCCTCAGTGGGAGTGCAGGGAGAAGGCCAGTTTGACACAGCTGAGCTCCTCCCCGCCATTGCTGACCACCACCCGCACGCGGTAGTTGCCGTTGGTCATCCAGGAAGGGAGCTCCACATCGGGCACGTCAAAATCGCTGGCTGGCAAGGAGTAGGAGCCCTGTGGAGAGAGGGGACAGACAGACAAGAGGTCAGCCAGAAGGCCAGCCCAGCACCAGAGGGCACAGTGGCACCCAGTGGCAGTGCCAGTGTCACCGCGGGGCGCGGCCGTACCGCTTTGAAGGGGCAGTGGCAGGGGATGCCGTAGGTCAGCAGGGGCTCCGGGCAGGGCGTGCCAGGTGGGATGAGCTCATCCAGAATGCTGCAGACGTCGTTGTAGGTGCAGCTGCCCAGCTGGTCAATGCAGGGCAGCTGGATCCAGAGGTCACCCAGTGCCTTCTCTACCACCAGCGCTGCCTGGAGGGAAGGTGTTCAGCACCAGCACAACCAGCAGGGGCACCCACAGCTCCTCACCAGCCAGCTCAACTCCCTCAGCTCCTGATCATGCAATCCTTGGGATGTCCATGTGGTCACTAAACCCCCCTCCTGCCTCCCCCTCCTGGCTTTCAGTTCCTCTCAACCTGCAGCTTCTGTTCCTCCAACCTCAGTTTGACCCCTTAAGCTAACACCACCCCACACCTCACATCCCCACCTGCTTCCCCTCTCTTCTGCCTGTCCCAAAACTCCCAGGGTGCTCCCATCCTGCAGCTCTGGCTCCTCACTCCCCTAGCACTCACCCCACAGTCCTAGGCCCAAACAGACACCATAGCATTGCTCAAGACAGCCCATGCACCCTAGACAAGAGACATGTTCTGTCTCATTCCAAAAAACTCCCCAAAAGTGTTGCAGGGCAGCTGGCATGGCCCAGGGCTCCCAGAGCAGTGCTGTGCCATGTCCTTGGAGGGAGCAGCTGGGTTGGCTGCTGAAAAACAAGTGCTGCAGTGACATCCAGAAGCACCCACAGCACTTGGGTTTCACTTCCCTCCTGGAGCCAATACATCCCCAGGACATGAAACAACTCAGGTGGTTTCTGCCCTAGGAACAAGGTTGGGAGGCTCCAGCTGAACTGTCTGCTCCCAACACAAGTCTCCCCATGCCCACTGCCCTGTTCTGGCTTACAAAGCCCAGTGTGCTCAGCCCCGCACCTCTCTGCACCTCACTCCCCAAGGGCTGCTCATTCCTGCACCCATTTCCCAGCTGCCAGTGGTTTGGGGAAGCTCTGCCCTCCCTCACCACACAGAGGGACATCTGGCACTTACCTTCAGAGGGGAGCCCATGGTCTTGCCACTCTTGACCGCCGCGCTGACACGCAGGCTCCCCGGGATGCTGATGGGGTCGGGTGCCACAGAGAGGCTCTGCAGCACCACGGGGTCCCTCTTGTCACCACAGTTCTCCCAAGCAAAGCCACCAACCTGCAGCACCGAGGGACAGGAGGAGTTAGAAGCGGGGCAAGCCTTGCCTTGTGTTTGCAGGAGGTTTATCCAGAGCTGCCCCTCTGACCCCTGCCAAACATCTGCTCACAAAGAGCCAGAAAATTACCTTCAGCCCCTTCAAATGCCAGTTCTTGAACTCCCAGCTCTCCAAGACTGAGGACATTGCAGAACCCTCTGTCCATGTGCCTCTGCATGTACTTTACACCCAAAGAGCATTACCAGACTGCAATTTCCAAACTTGCCTCAGCTCTGCCTCCAAACACCTGACGTGTGACCAAGGCAAGATGCATCCATCATGCCAACGGCACCAAGCAAGGTGTGTAAGGACAGGTCAGAGCAAGCTGGGACCAGGTGGTGGCTGCACTGTCCATGCTGGGCAGGGGTGTGGGGGGATCCCCTTGGAGGGGCAGTGAGGTTGGCACAGCCTCCCACCTCATCCAGGACCAGCCCTGCTTTGTGAGCCCTCATCCACCAGCTCCACCACCTAGTTCCTCATAGGAGCAAGAATCACACTCAGGGACCAGATGAGTGTCTGTGCTCATCCTCTGCCTGATGCACCCCAGGAGCCTGGCCCTGAGCTACAAATGAGTACAAATCCTGATCCAGAGTACAACTGAGCCAAAGAAGCAGCATTGCCCTAATGTGATAATGAAAATCCACACATAAGGAAATGTTACCCGAATGAGAGACATCACTTATGTGTCTGGTCTGAGTTAAGAGTCACTCTGGGACATCTCCCCTGTTCCCTACAAGTCCCACCAACCTCTCCAGCCACCACCAGTAAAGACACTTTGGTTCAAAGGTAGAGGGCTAGCAAGACTTGTCTGGAACAGCCACTTCTGAGCCTGCCAGAGGCAAATGGCAGAGACCAGCCCCAGCTCCCTCCCAGAGCAGGTTTGGCTGGAGCATCCCGTGTCCCCACAGCATGACGCGGGGCTCTCCTGCCTGCTCGCAGCCGCAGAACCGGTGGAGGCTGTATTGCCTGGTGCCACACGGCAGCCCCAGCGGGCACAGCGCAGCCCACGCAGCCGAGCAGCCCATCCCACATCCCGCTCGCCCGCCGGGAGCAGCCCAGGGCAGGACACAGGGCTCAGGACAAGCCGGGACAAGGGTAGACTGCACCCCGACACTAAGCAAGAGCTGCGAGCCCCCAGCCCCAGAGTCTGCGGGCAAAGAGGCTCCAGCGAGCTGAGCATCAGTGTGTGGCTGCAGAATGCTGCCCGCCGAGCCCCCTGCAGCCTTCCCAACCGGTTCCCCCTTCCCTCGGGCAAGCGCAGGAATCCTGGAAAATAA